CTTTAAAGCTGTCCAAAAGCTATAATAAATGTACAGATAGGTCAAGATAATCTTTCAGAAATCGACAACTTACTTCCACACACCTGAAATACGGAAATATCAGTATACCTTCACACAAAAAACAAAACATATTTACATTCTATGCAGGAGTAGAATTAAGATATTTCTTTTATCCTCGTGTAAAACAATACTTTGTGTTCCGAGTTTTACTCTTACAGCACGGGGTGTATAATTAATTATATATACGTTCCGCGTATTGCAGATTGTAATACTTATTTTAGGTATCATAATTAGCATTGCGCTTATGTAGCAGTTCCACTGTATATATAACTTCATTATCAATTAGAACAGAAGGAATTTTGTTTCAGTTCTGCTAATCGATAACTTTGGATTAAGTTTTGAAATCAAAACTTTTGGTAAGAATCAGGATGTTTTATACTAAAAACCACTTTTGCACGAATGATCTAAAATAATTAACATTTTGTTATACCTGATGTTCTGGTATAAAATATAAGAAACTGTAAAAATATCTCACTGAATTAATTTAAAATTTAAACATGAAATATCTATTATTATTATTGTTCTATACTGGATGTCTTGTTTCACCTGTGGTTCATATACAAAAATTTATAAAGGAATGTTATATTCTCAATGGTGCGCAGTACATTTGGTGAGAAATATTAAAATACAAAACAATAAGAGAGCACTAACGTATTACCATGATGAAGGGAAACACTAAACTGGATAAAATTAGTTTGACATTCTGAAATTAGACATACATAATTTATGTGGTACGTCGATCGTAACATTTTCTACGAGTCTTTAAAATATTTGAATCATTCCAGTGGCGGCTGGTGACATGTTTGGCAGGCGAGGTACACACTAAACATGGCAATATTAATTAATATGGCAAAGTTAAATCTACAGTCCTTGACTGTCAACATTTACTTTGAAAGAATAACGAAGTATCCCATGTTAATTTCAACGTTTAAACACACACACAAACACACAAAAGCCATTAGGTGTTAGAAATACTAAAAAAAACTAAATTTATGCGCCCCCCAAAAAGAAGACATACTCGTTATACAATTCCCAATCACTTTGAACGATGGAAACCAATAAACCAATTGCATGCAGTTACGATGGACCAACAATATATCACATTAAGCATACCTTAGACCATAGGCGCCCGCAGGAAGAGGCAAGGGGAGTTACTTGCCTCCCCCCTGGATTTTCAAAATGAAAAAAAAAATACTAGATTTGCAAAATTATTCTTCTATGTTATTGGAAAATCATAAGGTATTTGTAATTACAGGGGTATTGACCCCTCTATTTTTTTTCTGCGGGCGCTCTTACATTAGACCATATCAAAGCGATTTATAAACAAAAACAAATGATTACTGAAAATCTATTTGAATTACAGTATATTTTTATTCTAGAGCACCGCTCTTTTGTTTATTTATTTAAAAAATCCAGTAACGCTTTCAAATGCAGTCACTTCGAAAATTATATCGAATAGAATATTATTAGTCACAAAGATCGAGGTTATTGCACCATTTTTTATCAACGACCTTTGACCTACATCTGCTATGAAACTTTCACCAGCCGTAGAGCCGCTTTGTCAGAACTTTTACAATGCAGTTATCTACGGACATATTTACTAATCCAGTAAGTCGGTTCGGATTCTTAGAACTTTAACAATGTAGTTATCTACAGACATTCTTACTAATCCAGTAAGTCGGTTCGGATTCTTAGAACTTTAACAATGCAGTTATCTACAGACATTCTTACTAATCCAGTAAGTCGGTTCGGATTCTTAGAACTTTAACAATGCAGTTATCTACAGACATTCTTACTAATCCAGTAAGTCGGTTCGGATTCTTAGAACTTTTACAATGCAGTTATCTACAGACATTCTTACTAAACAAGTAAATCGATTCGGATTCTTAGAACTTTAACAATGCAGTTATCTACAGACATCCTTATTAAACCAGTAAGT